ATTAATATGATATATCCCCCAGATATAGTACCCGGTTCCTCACACAATACCCATGGGTACTATTCAATTTTAAAAACTAAGTTCTTGAATAAGACCCCGGGTACTGTATGCAGTGGCCAACGGTAATTATTGTTTTGACTTTTAATTTACCAAATTATCAGGTCAAAGCTTGGTCTACTCGCGGAAAAGTTCCCCACGCTGTTGTGAGTACTGCAGCATTTGTAGAAGTATCTTTAAGAGATAAATTTTCTTTTGGGAAAATATCCAATCATGAATTGAGATTATTATATTCAATGGTGTTTATTAGGTAGGTATTTATCATATGTCTATAACATTCATCATTGTAATGATAATTCCTCTATTGCGCCTTGTCTTTTTTTTTTTTAGATTTGTCAATGGAATGGTGGATCCAACTCAAGGTTCATATGCATCATCTGTCGCATCATTAGCATTGAAACTTAATATGCCATTACGGTTTGTTGAATTACGCCATGCTGGAACGCACGAACATCTTCCTAGTTTACAAGTTTTACGAAATGGATGTCAACAGGTACAAATTAATATATATATGTATTAATCAATTGATTTAATAAATAAATGGTGACTAATAATATTTGTTAGGCATTGCAATGGCTTAATGAAAATTACTGGGGAATCCAAAGGCCATTACAATCAACGCACATGAACGAAATTCATTCATTACTTTCTAAATATAAAGAATTGCGAATGAAATTTTTAAAAGGTAGTACCCTAATTTAGAAACCGATATTATTATTATTATTATTATTATTGTGACAAACATAACTATTCTCCTAGATTCGGAACTGGATGATATGAATTCCACGGATAAGATTGTTAAAAAAATATTAAATTTGGTTAGTGCGGAATATGTGAGAGATTTACTTATACCTGTCTTATTGGAAAAAGGGTTCTTGGTACCAGCAGAGGAAAAGTATGTGAATACTAATTTTTATATTATTATTCCATGAGATTTTGAACAATTGTATTTTATTTTAGAAAGAGAGCCTCGATGGTCGACCAAACATTATCAAAAGATTTGTTAGATTTATGGTTTACCATATTACGCAAATTTGATTATGAATGGGCTAATTTTAGTAGTGAATTAGTACAGGGCATGTTAGAAAAATTGATCACGGATGAAGGTATTTGATTATACTAATTTCTAACTCATCAGTATTGTATATAATTTTACATTAAATTTTGAAAAATCTTAGAAAACGTTAATCGTGATGCCAATCTTATTCATTTGACGAACTTTGTAGGTAAATCAATAAATTTTTGCAAAATTTCTGCATTTCTTTACATTTTCAAAATTTATATGTCTATCCATAGTCGCCTGCTTCCGATTTGATACAGCAATCTAAATTAATTCACACAAGCTCTAGTTATCATTTAACTCTTGGTAGGCCTAAAGTTTTCTATAATTTAAATTATTTTTCTTTCAATAACATATTCCCTAATTTATAGTGGCATGGATAAGTCATATTCTAAAACTTCGTTACACTGGTGATTTTATGGTTTTTGCTGATTTAGATCTGGAAAATGTTCTTGAATTTTGTTTAAGAAAACCAAATTATTAGTGAGTAATTCGGGATTATTTATACTGTTACTTATAAACTTACAAATTGTTTTGTTATAGTACAAAAACAATATTACAAGTCATGATCGATTATGATGAGGAATTGAAGAAAGTTGCCACACCTTTCATGAATTATATTGTTAAAATGCTAAGTTTTAAAGATGTGAGGTTTTTATGTTGACTGCTTTATCGGAAAAGAGTCTGTTCAAACCTTGACATCATTTTAAATTATTTTAACTTAGAACTTTAATTATGATAAAAAAGTTCCAAAAATCACAGATGATGACATGAATAGGGAGATACACGAATTACGGGAGGAGTTGAGCAATATAATCAGTTTGAAAGGGGTAAGTACAGTATTGCATTCTGAGCTGCCTTTATGCCCGATTTGGTTGCTTAGCGACATATGAACTATAAACATGGATTGGTCTAATGTCATGGGCCGAACTGAAATTATTTCATTCTGGTGAAGTATCTTGCAAATTCGTCTGCTGACGAAATCTTCTAAATATTTCACATTTTTGAAAAATCAATTTCTGTCATAACATTAGTCCGGGCTATATAGATATTTTAGCGAAATAACGCTAACTTACACGCTCATGTTACTTTGGATATGTACTTGTGCATTATTTTAGACAAATGCCCAATCTTCTGAAATTAATTTTCAAAAATAATGCAACATGTGTAATTTTATATGCTCTGTCAGATTCATTTTATCGTCATGGCGGGTCTGTATATAAAATTAGAACTGAACAATTATGCGATTTGCAAAATTTTGTGGAATTAAAAAAAAAAGAAATCATTTGATTTCTTAAAACTACTCCAATATCACGATATGAAATTATCATATCGGAGTAGTCTTAAGAAACCAGAAATCATCTAAGAATTGGAAGATTTCTTTTATTTTGTTTTGATCTACAAATTTCACCAAATTTTGCAAGCCGCAATGATTTTATATCATATTTGAAGTATGGACACGCGCATTGACGTCATTTTAAAACCATGCCCGCTATTTTGGAACACGATTTCTAAATAACGTCAATATCCGTTATTTTGTGAAAGTACAGATCGATGTTTAATTAGTATTAAAGCATATTCCGATAAGTTATAGTTATTTTATAACCCATATAATAACTATTTTATTGCACGGTGTTTGACGTACAATCCCGTGCCAATAAGTAAATGAAAAGCACGGGTTGTTACATAAGACCCGTGCAATAAACGCGAAATAACGTTCGTGGGTGTTGTTTTGAAAATCGAGCCTTTCAAAATATTAACGCCCATTGACGTCATGAATTAACGCGCATTCCAAATAACATTTTATTGGTGCGATAAATGATTCAAAATAATGCACATGGGCGTACCGAAATAATGCGCATGTGGGCGTTATCTCGCGTTTATACGATACCCGTTACTTTAAGGGTATATCGATTTATTATATGGGCTGCCGTCAATAGAAATAAGGCTTTTAAAAAAAAATTAATGCCTTAACTTTCACAGCTCATATCTTGATGAATTTTGAAGTTATTTTAATTATTTAATAGTCAAAAGAAAGCTTGCGATCGAAGCTTTCTTTTGAATACTAAATCATCAAGATAGCCTCAAAATTTATCAAGATATGAGCTGTGAAAATTAAGGCATTAATATTTTTAAAATGTCAATCTGCCTTATTTCTATTGACGGCAGCCCATATAAGATGCTAGACACCTAACGTAAGACGCGTAGTTAACATTATAAATTACAACAATTACAACCTTATGAATTCTTTTTAGTCAGCAGAAAAAAATAATCCTATAATAGTTTCAAATTCAGAATCAGCATGGAAAATCTATGATCCTGAAAAATGGAAAGCATGCCCGATAGGATGTTTACCTAATGGGCAAATTCCCTATTTGGATCTTTCACCTGAGTTAGATGGGCCTAGCAATATCTTTTCTGAACCAAGGTAATCAATTATCTGGCAGCTTAATATATAGCGCTTATCAAATAGCATGCATTATTTTAGATTTATATATTTACCAATTTTATATTGGTCATTATAGAAAAGAAATAGATCTTATGCAAATCGATGAATAGATCAATTAGTGAGGTATTGTAAAAACAATCTAATTTCCTAATATTTTATATATTTCATTAAAAAAAAATTTTATAGGTGCTGAGAAAATTTATATTGAATTAGGTCTTCTAAAATGGTTATTTCTACTATATTTTTTTTTTTGTCATATAAATATTAAGTAATAAAGCAATCCTATAATTAAAAGAACATATAACGTGTGACAGATGTAGAAATATAATCTACATATATCTTAAAATTAAATACACTTGTTTCTATAAGTCTATAACCCAAATTTATAGTAATCTATACCCTACAATTATCAATCTTGAAAACTAAGATATCTTTAGCACCAATTTCTTCCAATTTATCCATGATTTCTGCAACTTCATCCTTACACACCATACTTTGCACTTCAACCCAGTCACCATTATCTAAAGGGCTAACAGTAGGGGCTTGCCTACCCGGAGTAATCTTGGTAGCTTTACTAAGAGAATGACGCTGAATGTTATAGTTAAGCAACACATATTTTTGAGCAGCAATTACACCTTTGATTCGAGAAGTAATCTTGGCAATAAGGGAATCATTTGAGGAGTGTTTATTACGAATTAGAATTGCTTCTGTATTACAAACAGTAGAAATGGCATGAAGACCGGCTGCTCTCATAGTCTCACCAGACTCTAAAAGATTAATAAGTGATTAGAAAGATATAATCAATTTAGAGCAAACAACTATACTTACCAACTAAATCAACTATTCAAAAAGTGGTTTAATTAATAAAAGTTGGATATATATAATATGTAGAATAAACCATTTTAAATACAACGAATATATACCAATTCCATCAGCTAAACCAAGAGCACAAGCTGCTTCGACACTTCCGCTGACATATTCAATTTTTGTTTTCTTCCCTTCCTTTTTTTGATCATCACTCAAATATTTTTTATCTAATTCCTCAAAGTAAGCACTAGCCAACACTACAAAACTTGAGACAACCCTTTTCCCGACCAAATCTTCAACTTTTTTAATATTACTTTTAATCGGAACTTGGACTTGCAACTTGCATTTTCCAAAGCCTAAGTCTAAAAGTTGCTCAACTCTCTCTTCAGCTTGAGATTCTAATATCATATCCTGGCCAGTAATTCCTAAATCAACATTTCCATCTGCAACATATTTTGGAATGTCGGCGGCGGGAAGAAATACAAGAGCGATTGGAAGGTTTGAAACAGGGGCAATGTCAAGCCTATTATGGCGATAAAAATTAATGTCCGCACCATTAAGGAGAGAGAGACAATGTTCATGAAGACGGCCTTTTTTAGGAATTCCAAAAAGGAGACGATCAGAAAGACTATTTATTACGTCCGCCATTTTTTTATTACTATTTATTTATTAAGATTTCTATAATGATCTACTATTTTTTTTATATAGAACGAAATTGAAGAAAAGGGAGTAATTACATACCGATACCTTTTAGATAAATCTATTCCGAAAATGGATTAATGAACTATTCATAGTAACAAAAATGGGTATTAGTGTTGCAACGCCATGGCAAAGCCTTAGTTACGATACATTGGTACCCTCACCAAACACGCATATTTCTTTGTCCTCGTGTGAAGCACGGATTACTACACTAGTAAAAATACAAGATTATGCAATATTATGCAATGTAAAAAATCTTGTTTTAAAATTCATTTTCTAGACCTTCTAGTGATCGATAGATAATAAATATGCTTAATGTTACTTTGTAACCATATAAAATCATGATATCAGAAAAACTTGTGATCTACGATATAAAAAAAATCACACTATCGAAATATTTGGGAAAATTCTGGTCTAAAAATGTCACACCACATATTTATAAATATTTTTGTGAGATTGTGTAATGATATCACTGACTCAGCTGACGCAAAGTGTAAATGTTATTTAAAGACTATCCAGTTAATTTTTTTTTTTTTTTCGACAGAAAATTTACTTTTTTGTTTTTTCTCAAGAAACATAAAATTTAAGAAATAAAAAAGGACTTAAACCTTTACCTTTTGAGTAAATAAAAAATGTACATAAACACGCTTCCTATTCGTATTCGTAATGGACATAAGTTTCCAATTCCATTGGAAAATGAAAGTTACTATCACCGTCATCAACCGGTTGAATTCTCAATTAAATTAAAGAATCCATCCTTGATGCATTCAGCCCCTGGAATGATCTTTCTTACCGATCAACGATTCATATTTATTGCTTATGAACCAAGTTCGGATGGATTTGAAAGTTTTTACATCCTATTATCAGATATTTCATCTTCAGTAACGTCAAAAAGTATTTTCAATAATTTCTTTAATCACAATACACTTTCTTTGGATGTTACTTTGAAAGACAAAAAGTCTTTTACAATGTCTATTACATATGATTACGAAGATATTGAACAAAAAGGAATTTTTATGGATTATTATGGAATGATGCTTTCTTGGGCGACTAATAACAAATCTGGAAAATTGATTGGAAGGCCACTAAGCATTAATACTTTAAATAATTTCATGTCAGACGAAGATCGTCCTGATTCAGCTTACTTTAGTAGTTGGAGTACGAATCCAGCATTACATGGGGGAGAAAAACCTCCTGCATACTCTTAATTTGTATTTTAAATTTTGTTTCGCAAAGCGAAACCTTCTTTTCATTTAACAATACTTTTTTTATGGGGTTAAATTTTTTTTTTCAAATTTATTATTATCAAAGGACAATATATTTCAAATTATACTTGATGTATTATATTAAATTCTTTCATACAATAAAATTTCATCTCGTGCATATTATATTGTCACCGGTCTTTAGTCTGGGAGTTCTGCGAGAATATTAAAGCGTTCTGCGAAAAATACTAAATGTTCTGTAACACCTAAAATACCATAAACGTGTCTATATATACCTTATAAATATTGATTCGGCTGAATTACGTACCTAGTACATAGTTACTTACGTAGTAGGTAGCGCAATTACCTAATCATAAATACTGTATAACGATAACGATAGTTTCAAATTTGTAAAAAATCCTCAACCTTTTTTGCAACCTAAAATTGAAAATCATGAATGACCCATTGCTTAAATATACCGGAGGCCTCATCGGTCTCATAATTGTTAGTTTCAAACACCGTTAATATGTTGATTTTGATTCACTTAACGTTTTATTTCACCTTTTTTCATTCTCTTTAGCTTGTTCTAGATATTATTGCCATTTTTGAAATTCTTCAAAGTTCCAGACCTGTTGTTCATAAATTGTTATGGGCTTTGCTGATTATTTGCTTCCCTTTATTGGGATTGATTTTGTACTTGTAAGTTTCCTGAGAAATAAGTTTACTATGTTGTTGTGGCTTTGGGGTATCAAGAGGCTTTTTGTATTTGTTTAATTATTTCGTCTTGATTTCTTGAATGCGAGTGTGCAAACAAATGAATATTTTTTAGAGAATTAAAAATGTTATAGTGGTTAATTTCTATATTTATTATTAATATTTTTGATTAATTTTATTAATTTTAATTTTTTCAGCCTCTTATCCAGAAGGCGTGATTACGGTGCATATGTCGCACTTCCCTAACATGGGATCGGTAAGGATATTTTTACTGGAGATTAGCGAAGATATTCAATAATTGACTTTTTATTTCATTTTATTAATGCGTAAGAGCATTATTTCTAATCGAAATTTCACTTGATATTTTATAACAAATCCTATTACCCTATTTTTTGTACTATATAAGTTTACTTCATGAATTAATAATTATATGCTGATTCATTTAATCTTTTAATATTGAATAAAAATTTTGGTTATTAACCTTGCTCACAATTTCAGTAATTGTTCATGAGTAAAGAAGTTGATTGATCAGATATACAATATGCACTAGACATTCATTTCACACTTTAACTTCTGCGGATGTATCTGGTTTAAAGGGACAAACCATTCGATACGTATTTATAAAAGACAATTTATACTTACTTCGCCTCGAGATATTTATAAGTAATTTTTACTTTAGAAATCAGCCTTGTTAGTTACACAGTTCTTTACTATCTAAATATTATCAAAATATTCCGAATGGCTTATAACAGTTCTCAATATTGTGGCGTTGCTTTTAACACTTTAGCCTTAAAACTATCAAACCGTAAATATTTTCTACCGAATAAAAATGGTGACCTTTACAAAATAAACTACTAATTTTTTTTAAATATAAGTTCGGGTTTGATATGACTTAGCATCCGCGCCTCCTTTGTACGATGTTATTTAAAATCATTCGACGTTGTGGTGTCTCAGGCTATATCCTTCATTCCCGTCGCTTTTTGTAAAATAATAAAATTATTCAGTTTGAAAAAAAAAAACCAATAATAATCAATAATGGCATACACTTTAGTTCATTTCATCCTTACCGTTTTAAGTGTCCTAGTTGTAAGTTATTGAATAGTTGTTCCTTATTTTCTTTAACGGAGACACCTGATCTAATCCTTTTTTTTTTCTAAGCTTATTCTTGACATTCTTGCTATTTGGGAAGTTTTCCAAAGTGATCGCACTCCTATTGGCAAAGCCTGCTGGATTTTATTAATTTTCTTTTTCCCTTATGTGGGACTATTCTTATATTTGTGAGAATTATTATTTATTACTCGATTTTGCTCTATTAAATAAATACACTGATTTTTTTGGTTTGCTGTTTTTAGAATATTCTCAGGTCGACGCGATAAAAGACCTTTAGATCTACCTTGCTTACCATAATGTCAAATCGGTTTATCTTTTAACGTTAATGAATTATAAGAGATAACAATTAGAAATATAATACGGTCACACGATTTGTCTCATCATAATTTTTTATATAATCAAAACATAAAATTACTATAAACTCTAAAGACTAGATTATTCTTAACAGATTAACTTATTTTCAAGCTTTGGGGTTAAATAGGTTCAAATAAGTAGAATAAAGTTAATTTATTATTTAAAAAATTGTACAATCTAAAAACGTAACTTTTTAAAAATAAATATTTATTAGTTTTAAAGTTACAGTTATACTGCATGTAAAATTTTGTTTGAACAAGTTTATTTAGAGAACAAAATGGTTTATTTTGGTATAAAATACAATAACTAGCCATATACTGTACTGTATATGTTAATATTAAAATTTTTAGTTTATTTATATAACTTCTAAAAAATAAACTTAAAATTTTATATACATTATTTTTGATTTTAGAAATAAATTATGCAGTAATAATATCATAATATATTAAGCTTTATGCTCAACAAGCTTACTTAAAAGTTAGTAATAAAAAAGTTGTACTGTATATACTATATATAAATAAATTAATAATTTAAGAAATTTGTTAAATTTAACAGGTTGATATTTAAAAAAAGAATTATTATTAATTAAAAATAAGAATT